CCTGAGACAACAAAGTTTGGTATGCCTCACCTAGGCAGAAGAGGCACTGAGAATGCTCATCAGAAAGAGTTACTTTATCTGGGCAAGACTTGCACCGCTTGAAGGAGCCAGAAGAGGCCATAAAAGAGCAGAGGGCCTGAGTGGGAAAAGGGTGGGGAAAAGAGATTCATTTCCTATATCCTGTTTTTTCTCTCTTCTTCTTTTTACTGAGGCACTCTGTGACATGGGCGGGGCACGCGCAATGGGAAGGAGGTCCTAAGGGACACCTGTAAAAGCTCTAGACGTTTCTGAGAGTCTCTGCTCAAGCGCACTAAAACCCAATTGTCTGCATTCACAGAGATTCCGAAGAAGAAACCTCAGATTTATCTTAAAATGTAGAAGCTTTCTGTCCTAAATGAAGAAGGGATATTGTAAAAGAAGCACAAAGTTTTTTTTAAAAAAATTCCTCTTAAAAAGACATTCAAGAATGACTTTCTTCCCGTTTTGATCATGATTCAGAATAGTGTTTTGTGCTTTTTCGAAGACAATAAACTTTTAGAGTTGGAAGGTACATTAGAGGTACTACATTTTTCTGTGTATACAACCCCCCCAATGTATAGAACAACCTTGTCGGAGACGGAGGTGCAGTCAACGGACAGCAGCGAGAGGCGTTAGAGGTACTACATTTTTCTGTGTATACAAACCCCCGATGTATAGAACAACCTTGTTGGAGTCGGAGGGGATTTTTATGGACAGCAGCGAGAGGTGGCCGAGCATGGCTGCTCCTTTGCCTATGCCTCCTGCTGCTGCTGCTGCTGAGCCTACAAGCGGTGCTGGAGGAGACTGCAGCAGCAGGAGGAGGCGGAGACAGAAGCAAAGGAGCAGCCGTGCTCGGCTGCCCATTGACTGCCGCCGCCCGATCGCCCCATCCACCATCCTCTCGCTGCTGCCCATTGACTGCCGCCGCCCGATTGCCCCATCCACCAATCGTCTCCTTCAGGCAAGGGACAAGGTGGCAACGTGAGCTGGAGGTAAGCCCTGACAGGAGGAGGCGGTGATCCGCCAGCAGCAGCAGCAGTCAATGGGCAGCCACGAGAGGTGGTCGAGTGCGGCTGCTCCTTTCCCTCAGTCTCCGCCTCCTGCTGCTGCCTTCCGGGTATAAAATGACCCTCAATTTTTTTCTCTAATTATTTTAGGAGAAAGTGTTTTATGCATGGAAAAATACAGTAATCTAACCTAAGTCACATTTCAGGGCAGATTCAAATACAGAATTCCTGTTATCCTGGCTTAAATACCTAAGTAAAAGACAGCCAACCACATCCTGGGCCAGTCTGCTCAACTGTCGAACAGCTCTTACAAAATCCCTTTCTTAGTTAATCAAACCCTGTTTCTTTGCCAAGTCCTCCCACTGGTTCTCCAGTCTCGCACTTTATGGCAACAGAGAACAAGGCTGCTCCATCTTTTGCATGACATTTGAAGGCAGCTGTCATATACCTAGTTTGTTTTGTGTTCTCCAGGCTAAACATACCCAACACTTTCAACCATTCCCCATAATAATTCCAAGATACCTCATAGTTCCTGTTACCTCTCCTCTGGACTGTAGCCACCTTATGACATGATTTTCACAGTGTTGTAATTTAAGCATTACAGGTAGAGTACAACTATTTCTCATGGACACAGTGTTTCTGATTAAGCATTTTTATACAGCATTAGCTTTTTTTTAAACAAACCACATTATTTGCTGATTCATGATCAGCCTATGATTAACTGAGACAATTAGATCTTTTCTGTGGCCAAAATCTTGTTGCTTAGAGTAGTAAATTGCACTAGGCCCAGTTGAGTCAATTGGATTTAGTGAGTCAACTCTTCCATAAGTTCCATTATTCAAATAGGTCTACTCTAACCATGACTTATTATGCTAAAGTAAGCTTCAATTAGAGAAGGCCCATTTGAATGAACATATGGAGAGTTGACTCGTCTTGTCTTCACGGATTTAGTGCAGTGGTTCTTAATCTTTTTGAAAGAAACACACCCTTGAGCCATTGAGGAAGTTATCACTGCCCCCCTCCCTGTGGTGGCGGTGCCGTGGGGAGGGGGACAATGATAACTTCCTCAGTGGTGGTGGTGGTGCATGATAACTTCCTCAATGGTGGTGGTGGTGGTGGCGGCACAGCAGCTCCATCGCCCCCTATCATCCCCCTTCTGTTCCTTCGCCCCCACGTTGCCCCTTTTCATTCCATTGCCCCCCTGAAACACGAAATCGCCCAGGTTAAAAAACACTGATTTGATCGACCTACTCTAGTGTGATTTATTATGCTAAGTATCAGGATTTTGGCCTACAAGTCCTGCTTCCCTGCTGCTTCGCCATCCTACACTTTTGCTTTGTTTTCATAACTGAATGGAATTACTTTTACAGTATCTCTATTGAATTTCATTCTGTTAGTTTTAGCCCAGTTACGTCTAGTTTAGAAAGAGAAATTTGCTCCTGACTCATCGATCTTTGTCACTGATAATTCAGATTCCCCTTTAGATTTTTAAGCAGTTTCACACTGCATTAATTTTACATGTACAAACAGCATCTTGGATAATAGCATTTTGAAATTGAGTGTGGATGAACAGGAAATGTGAAAAAGACAGGGAAGATTCAAGCCTTTCTGCCCCAGGTAGATCCAGAGGATGAGAGTTGTACTCCCCATTGTTCTTCCTTCAAGTAGAGCAAGCCTGGGTGGCCCTGGGCAAGCTGCACTATCCCAGGGCACACACACGCCCCAAGAAGAAGGGAAGGGCAATCCACATCTGTTTATTCTCTACCTTGAAAACTCTGAAAAGGGTCGCCATAGGTCAGAAGTTACTTAACAGCACATAATTATCATTAGCTAGAATGAACTTTTTGCTACTAGTAGAAAAGAAACACTGGCTTGCTTCTACCAAGCAGGCAATATTAGATTATTACTCGATGCACATCAAGTGCAATTGGACAGGAACTGTTGATGGACATCTGTTGATAGAACAGCCTAAACCATGGCAGGGACAATCTTCTGTTCTTACTGCAGTCCCCAAACTAGCTCTGTTTTTTTGGGCAGCCTCAGGGTAAGCATGTGAACTGGTACTTGCAAAATTTCTGGTTCTTGGCAGTTTTGCTAGACTCACTAGGCTGAGACATCTCCCTCTGCTACAGCAAGGCTCCCAAGCTTTCTGCAAAAACAACACCTGCCCTATCTCTGCCCCACCCTACCCCACCCCCTTCAGCATAATGCCCTTTCCAGAGAATCATGCCTAGGAAATACACCACAACTGCCCCATCTCTGCCCCACCCACCCCCTTCAGGAACTGATAGGAAACTGCCAAGTCCTGGGCAGCATAATGCCCTTTCCAGAGAATCCTGCCTAGGAAATACACCACAGGTTGTGGTGGACAGGTTGGCGTTTCTCCTGGCAAGGAAGATAATAACCATCAAATGATAAGTCACAACAAGGAAACACTATCCAAAATCTCGTTCAGCGGACAATAGTTTCCATGATCTCAGAACTAAATATTGAAACTATGATTTTTTTTAAAAAAAGAAAAAAATAAAGAACTGTGTTGGCCTTAAGAAGCAGCCGCCCAGAATTATCCATTTCAAATCCCAGACAGCTGATGTAGAACAATCAGGTTCCTCAAGTGAGATGTCATGAATAAGCAGGTGAAAGAGAAAGCAGGTTTCCCCCTCTCACCGAGCACAGAAGACTGCTTGAGGGCAAATATTCCAATCAGCAGAGGTGATTACAAGCTGTGGCCACCAGAGATTCACGTCGACAAAGATACATGGTTCCAGAACAGTACAAGTAGTGTGTGTGTGTGTGTGTGGGGGGAAGTAAAGCCAATGTGTATGGATATGCCCTCGGGACTGCGTTATAAGACGCATGGCCTTGCATTGGTATGACACAGACAAAGTGAGATGTATAACAATCTGAAAGCCAGAAAAAGTAAAATGCAGATTAGAGGTGGGCATGAATGGAGCCCTGTTGCTTTGCGTGAAGCTGTCAGCCAACCACTCCGACAAGGAGGCGGGACAGAGATTCTCCCTGTGCAGCCAAGGAGTGGCAGCCTGGGCTCCTGCCTGGACTGGGGTGCTGCTGGGAAAGGAAGACCCCAGTGGCATGCAAGCAGGGTGGGTGGGAGGAGGGTCCTCACAGCACCCAGGGTGCTGCACAGACAGCTTCGTACAAAGTGGCACGACACAATTCGTGCCCATCTCTAAGGCAGATTTTCAATGCTGATGCATCTACCTATTTCTAAAATACCGTCAGGAATCCAAAGCTGTTTCAATGCCTCATGTCCAAATTCTGTGTTTTTTGGACGGCAGATCTGCATACTTCGTGGAATGCTATTTATGGAATTGAGGGAATTTTCAGAAGCACTTTATAATGACAGTAGAAGTCAGCTGTTTCAAGGGGGGGGGAAAGTTGTCTTACTTAGGATGTCCTGAGATTTTGGACATGGCCAAAGCAGTTCATTAAATCTTAACCACTATTTCTGCATTGTGAAGCATTAAAGGGGAGGGGGACTCAATTCATACACTTCAAGAGGCATCTGTGCTTTCGAATATCCAACAGAAAAAAAATATCAGCTACGTTTCTTTTGTGCAGGAATGGAAGTTGGTTGTTGTTGAAATATCTCTGAAATGATGCACCACTCAATAGGACCAATGTAGCACTCCAAACTGGAGATTTGTGCCTGCTTCATGTTTTTTAATGCCTTCCCGTACCTATCATCTGTTTCTGCACGATAAGCAGACATGTCCAAGACAACAGTACTAATGGCAATTGCCAGCTCAGAGTTATATCTACACAAACACAAGTGCAAGCAAAGATTTTGCCTGTTCAATTACAGAGGTACAAGTGTCATCTCTAAAACTGGCCTGTAAAACAGCCACCCCTCAGGAGGAAACAACAAAAGGACATTTGTGAAGAGTACCCAAAAAAGCAAGAAACCAAGGGAGACAATTATTTCAATTATTTAATGCGTTCTTTTCACCAGACCTCATGTATCTCATCTCTGGTGGTGCAGAAATGGAGGGTGTGTGACAGCTCTTCCTCATACTTGTCAGCCTTGGAACCCCAGTGGATGCTTTCAGACTCGAGCGTGGCCAGCTGCTGCTGCAGGTTCTTTACAGAAACATTAAAGGGATTCTAGAATGAGATGCAGAAATCCAACTGAGACAATGAGCATTTGTTCCTGCAAACTAAGTGACAATTTATGTTCTTTAAAAAAAAAACACATGGAAAATGTCCATTTTAAACGGGGGAAAAAATACAGTAAGATTTGGTTCATGCACCAGATTTGAATAAAATCTGCCAATATGGCATAAAAATACACAACATGAATCTTGAGTCTGGCCATATGGGGGTAGCTGAATGCAACCAACACATATGCCAAAGCCTATCTTTAGAAGCAAAAAATCATTACGAGAGTTGTAGAGGTGCAATTCTAGAGATGTAACCTTGTCAGATTCTGTGGTTCAGCATCCATACTTGCAAACATGGCTTGTGTTGAGATGAGCAATCAAAATAATTCAAGCTGACTTCTGGCTTGACGTCGCGACGAGACAGCAGCAGGAAGACAGAGCTCTGTCCCCTGGAATGAATCCTGACCTTGTTCGGGACACCGTAGGGTGTCGGAACCACCCTGGAGGGGTGGTGAACTGGGGGGGAAGCC